GGAGCGCCAACGCAGCGACGATGACCAGAGAGAGCTCAGGAGGAGGGGGGGGTTCAAACCCCCCCCCTCCCGCGCCGACGGCGGAGACGCGGCGACGATGACCAGAGAGGGCCCAGAGGCCGCAGAGGGAACACACAAATCGCCATATCAAGCCCTCGCATGCTCCTCAGACGCCCCCGAGACCCTCCTGACGAGACCTCAAGAGGCATCCATTGGAACTCTGACCCTTTTGCCAAAACACATGGACGGGGTCAGCCGAAGGTCACACCACCACCACCAACAACACCGCCACCACAGACCACCATACCACCACCACCACCACCACAACCACCACCACAACCACCACGACCCACCATCACCACAACCACCACCATCACCACAAACCACCTCACCACCACCACCAAAAACGCCACCACCACCAGCACCACCACAACCCACCACATGCCACCACAACCACCACCACCACCATCACCATAAACCACCACACCATTACCACCACCATCACCACCACCGCCACAACCACCACCATCACAACAACCCACCACCAACACCACCACCACAAACCACCACACCACCACCACAGCCACCACCACCACCACCACCACCCACCACCCACCACCCACAACCCACCACCCACCACCACCAGCACCACTACCAGCAGCACCACCACCACAAACCGCACCACAGCCCACCACCACCACAACCACAAACCACCACGCCACCACCACCGCCGCCACCACCACGACCACCACCATCACCACCTCAACCTACCACCACCAGCACCAAACCACCAAACAACCATCACCACAACAGCCACCACCACCACCACCACCACCACCACAGCAGCCTCACCACCACCACCACCAATACAACAACCCACCACCACTACCACAAACATCACCACAATCTACCACGATACCACCACCACCGCCACAACCACCACCACTACTACCAGCAGCACAACCCACCACCACCACCACCACCACAACCACCACAAACCACCCACCTCACCACCACCACCACCACCACCACCACCACCACCGCCACTACCACCACCACCAGCACCCCCGCCGCCGCCGCCATCCGCAGCAGACGCTGGCGCCGGCCCGAGGAGAGGAAGAGAGGAGAAGTAGGGGAAGGGGGGGGGTCGAAATCCCTCCCCCCCTCCGTCACGGGGTGGGGGGGGGTTCGAACCCCCTCCCCCCTTCCAGGACGGGGGGGGGGTCCGGTTCTATAAATCCCCCCCCATCCAAGCGACCACAGAACGCGCTCTGTCATACATACATACATACATACATATATATATATATATATATATATATATACACATGTTGTTATAGAAAAAAGACCGAGGCCTGCCCAGCCCGACGACCCCTCGCGGGCCCGCGACCTCGCACACCTTGTCCCACGCCCTGGTCACGAGGCGCGCGGGGTCGTCCGCGGCGATGGCCCTGCAGGCCTCCTGCGGAGGGGGCGGAGGGGGGCCGAGGGGGCGCGCGCGGCGGGGGGGGGCGGGCGAGGCGGCGGCGAGGGGCGGAGCGGGCCAGGCAGAGGGCTCCGCCTAGCCCCCCCCCTCCCTCGTTCCTCCTCTGGCTCCTCTGGCTCCCTCTCCTCCTCCTCCTCCTCCTCCTCTCCCCTCCTCCTCCTCCTCCTCCTCCTCCTCCTCCTCCTCCTCCTCCCCCTCCTCCTCCTCCTCCTCCTCCTCCTCCTGCGTTTCTTTCCTTGCCGCTCTTGCATCCCTGCTTCTGCTCCAGCTCATATCTTGTTGCTGTACCTGCGCCTTCTCCGGATCGTGCTCCGACTCGTGCTGCCGCTGTTGCTTGTCATACTCCCTCCTGCCGACGTGCTGCCTTCTCCTGCCCTCCACCTTCCCCCTACCTGCCATCTCCCTTCTCCGCCTCTCTTCCCTCCTACATCCTACCCATCTCTCCTTTGTTGATCCTCCCCTCCTCATGGGCGGGGCTGCGGGGAAGAACGGGGGCTGGCGAAGGCCCTGTGGGGCATCCTGAACCACTGCGAGGGACGAATCGAAACCCTCTTCGCCCTGCGCGGACCTCAGTAGAGCGGGATCGCTGCATCAGCGGAAGCGCGCACAGTCATCAAAAGACGTCACCGCCCCGTCGTAAGCACCGCCTGCACCAAACGACGTAACCGCGCAGCTTTCAGGACCGCCTGATTGAGACGACACCCGCTTTGCAGTGTAGCGCGCAGGCGACTGCTGAGATGCGGGCGCCGCCCCCCTCTTCGAATGACAAGTGGAAACTTCGGGCCCGATCGGAGAAGGACATTGTGGGGGAGGGATACGATGAGTCGGTGATCACCGTTAGAGCCCACCCGGTCTGCCCCGAAAGCATACCCCACCATGGCCGCGGCTGATCGACGGCGAAGCGCGATACCTTCCCAGGCAAGACTGGCTGCTGCGACGTCTAAACGTCTAAACCCAGTCGTTCACCCTGGTGGGGTGAATGTGAGCTTTGCTCGGCAATTGTCCAATGTGACGGCTTCCGTCGCACGCCGCATCCTCCTCATCGTCTTGTTTTTCCTCCTGTTTGTTTTCCTTCAACTCCTCCTTCGCCTCGTCCTCTTCCTACTCCTCCTCCTCCTCCTGCTCCTCCTCCTAAGTGCGAAAAATGTGTCCCATGTGACAGCCTTCTCGGCGGTGCTCAACAAGGCGCTACACTGAGTGTTGCGCTGGAACGGCGGGGGGACTCGCCGCAGGCAGCTGGACACCTTCTTTGGCACGAAAGGCTGCGGTGTCTTTCCAACCCAGCCGGAATCGGCCGCGCGGGCCGCATCAGAACTCGTCGCGCGGGCGGCGCTTGCGGATGTCCAACCCCTTGGTGCGCAGCGTCAGACATTCCCCCACCCCCATTCAGCGGACTTGCCTCACACACAATAGCAAAGAACCCACACTAAGGATGCAAGGTGGGGGCCCGAGACTGTTGGACGCCCACGTCGAGGACGCGAACGACACCTGGACGTACACGTTGGGCCATGTTCGGCGGCGCACGTCCAGCCACTTTGGGCAAGGATGGGGCCAACAGGGGCAAAAGATGCAGGAATATGCCTCGGTGAAACATATGCTGCGTCCTCACCCCGTGGGCATTGACCATAAAGCCCGCGCCTTCAAAAGGTTAGCCCGTGTGGAGCCCCAACGGTGATAGATTGCACAGCGGGAGTGCAACCTATTCAGTGCAAGCCATTGGGTGTCGGCTGTGTCGTGTCAGCAATGTGGTGTGACGTATGGAAGTCAAAACGATGCGGCGCAATCTGGTACAAACTGTGTCGTGCACCGCGTCGCGTGAGCTGGAGGGGATGGTTATGCGGTGCAAGCTGTGTGGTGGAATTGGTTTTTGAGGAGGCCCTAGGACACACAAGTAAATACACACAAATAGCAGAATGCCCCATATTTTTCTGTACTTTTTCTGGGTTTTTGTCTTCCCCCCCACTTCCCATATTTTCCCACATAGTTTCCGGGGACTCGTCGATTAAATTGTGTCTGTGTGCTTTTGTTGTCCCTCCTGAGTTTTGGCCATCGCACGACATATCAACTCCACTGCTCGCGCAATCATCCCACCCTCCCTTGTGCGCGTGGCTGACACCCGCAACTTGGCTTGCACCATCCGTGCTGCGGCGCCTGTGAGGACCGCCTGGCCATAACTGGCGCATCTCTGCGCTTGCGGCCGCGCCGGCGCGCGCAGGCTCACGGGCAGCGCGGCCCGCTGGTGTGGCACGGCCGATGCGGCCGCGATGGCGCGTACCGACTGGGCATCGCTCGGACGTCCATTCCCTGTGTTTTTTTGTTCGGTGTTGTGCGTGGCTTTTTCGCGAAAGGATCCAGGATGCTCCTCGATGGTCCTCGCCGAAGGAAAAACACACACGTCCGAGCGATGCCAAGTTACCGATGGCAGCGTCCCATCGCGTGTCAAAAGCCGCGCTGGCACGCGGGCACTTCAATGCGGGTCGGTGACACGGGCGGGCGCGGGATCAGGATGACGTCGGCAACGGCAGCAACGGTGATGGTAGCAGTGGGGAACAAGACGATGACGACGGCAAGGCCAATGACGGCGCCGAAGCTGGCATCACCGATGACGATGAAGAAATCCATGTCATGTCTCGATGATGGAGGGGCTTGAGGGATGGTGGCGGCAATTGCGGTGATTGTATATGAAGATGACGTGGTGCGGCGGCGCTGATCTGGGGTGATGTTGACGGAGTGCGCGAACTGTCATTCTGTCTGTTGAATAACATGTGGTTTCTCATACGTGTATAGGGAGCTCTATCTTGACATGAGTTTAGCAAGAGTGGTTTTGGAAGGACTTCGACACGCTCGCGTGGCGGCGCATGCGTGGCCCGCATGGAACTATTTGATGCGGATTCGTGCACTGGACGTATGTTGACTCAAGGCGGATGTACCGCGTGGTGAGATGAGAATGCGGGTTGTCGGCGAGATGGCTAACACGTGTTTTCCAATGAAGTTAGCGCATGTGCGAGGGCAGAACGTTTGCAAGACCTGCGATGAAAAAAAAAAAAAAAAAAAAAAAAACATAAAAAAAAAAAAAAAAAAAAAAAAAAAAAAAAAAAAAAAAAAAAAAAAAAAAAAAAAAAAAAAAAAAAAAAAAAAAAAAAAAAAAAAAAAAACTGATTGTTGTGCTTGCGTGGCGAAACCATGCAACACTAGTGCGTCTTGGTCTGATTTCGGCATGTGCGCGCACGCGTGTGGACGTGGTGCTACTTCACGCAAGGGATTGCTGAAACATGACTATTGCGATAAGCGAGTGCGCGCCCACAGTGTTCTTTGGCAAGAATGAGGGGGCGATGACAGGCCTGCCTAGGATGGGATCACTTTTCATGGTAAATGAGCGGCGAGGCAAAATCAGATGTAACCCGCAGTGTCCCAGATTGGATCGATAAGGCCGGGAAACGGAGGGTGGTAGACTCTCTTCTCCTCTCGCAACGGACATGAGCGCAATGCAAGGCCATGCGGTGCAAAATGTAACCTATGTGGCGGATTGCGGCAACCCGGAACCCAAAAGCGTCTTCATCTCTTGAGAGGTCGACTTTGTACTCCCGCCGCCTTGCGCCGCCTTCCGCCGGCGGAGGCGGCCTCGTTTCACTCCCGCCGGCCTTCCGCCGCGGAAGAGATGACAACTCCTTCGATCCGCGAAGGCAAGGCCCCTTTTTGGAGCGCCCCATGTGGTGCAAGCTACAGTCCAAAACCCTAATAAGGACGCGCGGTAAGGACGCAAGACCCTTTGAAGCCGAAGCTGGGATTTTTGGGGCGGCGGACGACGCAAACCTCAGGGACGCAAGAGCAGGGAAGAGCAAGGACGCAAGGGTACCCTGAGCAAAGTCGCGCGTCCTTATTACACCCTGCGAAATGCTTTAGAAATCATGGGTTAAAAAAATCATAGTCTCAGAAATTGAATACAAACCCAGAATGTCTATTCAAATCTTGGGATTTACATTGAAACATTAAGAATAATCGAGACTCTGGCCGAAAACTTGGGTTTTCCTAAGCATCGGCTAGAGTGTAGGGTTTTTGACTGTACCTGGCGCAGTGCCAACGCACGCGGCGCCCACGGGCACCCCTCCGAGGCGCCCGCGGGCGGCAGCGCGGCGCGGCCCCGGCGGGCCCCCACCACGGGGAGCACGGCGTGCCCCCGAGGCGCCCACGGGGCGGCCACGAGGCGGCAGCGGCGGACCCACCCGGCGCACGGGGGCGCCACGAGCAGCGACGCGGAGCATCCTCGGCCGAACCCGCCCGACGCACTCAGGGACAGAAGCAAGGAGCCCGATGTTGAGCAGGGGCCGACCGTCCCGGCAGTCCTACAGCCCTACCGCGAGATGTTCTCAGAACCCCCAAAAAGCTCTAAGAACCAAAACAATGTTCTTAGAGCACAAACCCGATGTGTTTAAAAAAAAGACAGCCTCCGCAAGCAATGTTCTAAGAACATTTCGTGGAAACCACAAAAGGTTCTTAGAACATCGTTTGATATGGCTATAGGCGAGCCAGGACGCTTCGCCACTGCTTGACTATGCGCAAGCACTGCTCAGCGAAAGATATCCCTCCGAAGAGCCTGCGATGTTTCCCCTGTCCGCTTAGGGGCCAGGGGGATGTCCCCGGCCAGCCCACCTTGGTCTCCACCACGGTCTGCATCAGCGAGCCCGCGTCCTCCAGCACGGCGGCCCCGCGCGCGCCGGCGGCCTTCTCCGCCCTGGCGGCCGCCTGGCGCCCCAGCACGCGCTGCAGCATCGAGGAGGCCTCACTCAGGCTGACCGGGGGCGGCCAAAAGGGGGGCGTCCAAGAGGGGGGGGGAGGGGGCGCAAATCATGGCCGGCGGCACGGGCGCGGCCCCAGGGGAGGGGGGGCCCAGGGGCGCATTGAAAGAAGAGGAGGCGCCATGGCATCTGGTGAGATGCCAATCACGGCATATCCACCCCCCCACAGTCATCACCCCCCTCTTTGCCGCCCCCGAGCCGAGGCGAGACGCGCGGGGCCGGTCAGGGTGAGCGGAGCGGGCAGGAGAGGGGGGAGCACCCAGGGCGCCCCGCAGGCCCGCCAAGACCCGGAGAGCGGGGCCCAGGAGGTGCCGGAAGGATGCTGGGAGCGCTGGCCGTGCTGTCTCGGGGCCCGGTCGGCGCGCCAGGGGGGCAGGTGAGCGCTTTTCCCAACCATCCTGTGGTTTTGGGTCCTCGTTTTGAAGAGACAGCGCCTCACGTTCCTCACTCCCTCCCTCCTCCTCCCCCTCCTCCCCCTCCTCCCTCCTCCCTGCGTTTCACCCACCCAGTACAGCGCTTCGTGGCACCATACGGAGCTCCACCGAAGGCGCCAGTGCCATCGTCCGAACGTGTCCCGACATATCCAATTTGGCATCTTCACCCACCCAGTACAGCGCTTCGTGACCCCATGGGGAGCTCCACCGGAGGCCCCAGTGCCGCTGTCCGCATGCGTCCCGAAACATCAATTGTGGCATTTTCACCCACCCAGTACAGCGTTTCGTGGCACCATAAGGAGCTCCACCGAAGGCCCCAATGCCACCGTCCGCATGCGCCCCGAAACATCCAATTTGGCATTTTCACCCACCCAATGCAGCGCTTCGTGGCCCCATAGGGAGCTCCACCGAAGGCCCCAGTGCCGCTGTCCGCATGCGTCCCGAAACATCCAATTTGGCACTGTCACTATCTGAGTACAGCGTTTCGTGGCCCCTATAGGGAGCTCCACCGAAGCCACCAGTGGGACCGCCCGCATGCGGCCCACACGCCCAATTTGGCATTTTCGCGCATCCAGTACAGCGCTTCGTGGCCCCATAGAAGCGCCAACGACGGCCCCAGTGCTACCGCCTGCATACGCTCCCCCCCCACTCAGTGCAGCGCTTCGTGGCCCGATAGGGAGCATCAGCGAAAAAAATATGCACAATTGCGGTACACACAACTGAATATGGTTGGGTCCTTCTCCAGGAAAATTTTATTCGGCGTTTTGACATTGGGCGGAAGGGAGGGGGTCTGGCTCTGGACCTCTGCTTCGTGCGACTGTATGCAGCAGTGCGGCCGATGGGGGAGACCCCACCTGCTCGAAACAGGCGCCCAAAAACAGCCAAGATCCACTCCATGAGCGGTGGGGAGGGAGGAGGGTAGCGAGGGCCCGCGCCGATCGGCAAGGAGGGGGGGTGGGGTGGGGGGCTCGCCCCGGTCGGCGCGCCAGGGGGGCAGCTGCGTCCTGTGTTTCAGGCGCTCCGCCGCCGCCCGCGCAGTGGTCGCGTTGGCTGCGCTGGCTCTCGAGGGGAACCTGTGCCTGGACGCCCACCCTCCGGGAACGCCTGGATGAGACAACGAAGCAGACCCACTGGGCTACGCAGGGGGACAGCTACGTCGTGATCCTTCAGCACGTGCGCAGTGCCCGTGCCTGAGAAATTGCGCCGACGGTCGAGGGTCGAGGAGAACCCGTGCCTGGACATCCGGCCTCCAAGATCGCAGGGGTACAAGACATGGCCTGAAGCCCGAAGAGGCAGCGAAGCAGACTCGCTTGGATATCCCGAAGAAGAACTGTACCTGTACGTGGGCCCCGTGAGACCAGGGCAGACCCCGCCATCTACGACGGCTTCAGCCTCGCTGCACGACGCCTTGTCAGATCACTCGGGCCAGATTGGGGCGGGGTCAGGTGAAGCGCCATGAAGATCGACATGAAACCCCTCGACGAGCTCAAACTGTCGGATCTCCTCCCCATGTGCCACTTATGGGGGGAACACTCCCTCTGACCGGGTTTGTTTTGTCCCTGACGTGTCCGGCGGGGCCGCGCGGATTGACCCGTCGGACCGGCGCCGTCGGCTGCTGCTCTGGCACCTTCCTCCGGATGTTCAGCTGCGAGCCCGTCGGCGCCGAGTCCCGCTGGAGCACATCACCTGCCCTCGAGGCGGACTTCAGCTGCACCCGCGCGAGCGCGCCGCATGCCTGCAGGGCCAGCACGGCAAGCAGGAGGAGGCCCCTGGGTGCCATCGTTAGGAGTATGTCTGAATGGAGCGTAACAGCGCTGAGCCGGTGGGCGTAGAACGTGAGCCTGAGCTTTCGCCTGAGCCAACAACGTAGAGGATGCAGAGAGATCCAGCGAGGGCGGGCGCCGAAAAGAGCAAGAGCAGGCTATGTAAGGCTGCAGCGGCCCACTGGCGGTGTCGTGCTCTCTCCGCGAGCTCCGATGGCTCCCACCCTCCGACGAACCCCGCCCGCCGTGTGGCTGTGGGTGCGGCATCTTGATGGTGATACCGAGGTGGGCACGGCCAGAGTATCGCACCAGTGCAACGTGGAGAGGGTGGGCATCAGGAAGGTGTTTGACGCTCACGCGGGGGCCTGGAAGCTCGCCCAAGATAGACACCCCAACAGAAGTTCAAACAAATGCCAAGTCTCTGGCTGGAACGCTCCTGGTATTTACCAGGGCCTCCGAGCAGCCACACCAGCTCAATACCGACTCTCAAAAGCCTCCGAGGAAACGCCCACAAAGGCTCAGGACCCCCCAGAAGGCTCCCACAGGGCCACAAGAGACATGCTCCGAGAGAGTCTGAGAGGTCCCTTCAAACTGTCTAGCATGCTCGGCTACTCGGCTCCACATGGCGTCAACATGGCTGCAGAGAGCTCCAAGACTTGAGCCCCAAGAACAAACACAAACTGTCCGATAGCCTACCAAGGACCACCCCCTCCTAGCATTTACCGGGAGGGCCTCCGAGAAACTAAACCCGCCCAGTACCTACACCAACATCCCCCCTCCCCCAAGAGCCTTCAAGAAACGCCTACAAAGGCTCAGGACCCCCGTGAGGCTCCCAGAGGCCCCAAGACACATGCTCCAAGAGAGTTCTCTTCAAAATGTCCAGCATGCTCTGCTGCTCGGCTCAACATGACTCCCCCCCAAGACAGCCCCAATATGCCCTCAAGACGATTCCAAGAACGGCCCAGAACCCCGAGCCCGCCAGCAAGCCCCCAAGAGCCTCCCAGAGGCCGTCTAAGAGGCCCCTGAGATACACCGATTGTGCCCCCCCCAAGAAGCCCAGGCAGACCCGCTCAGAGACCCCTAAAAACTCCACGAGGCCGCTGGCCAGCACCATGCACGGTGGCGGAGTGGGCCGCAGGCCGCTGGATATCAAATCTCGGTCTGGGGCGCATCTCACATTGCCACAGGAACTCAACAACCGCAGCCACGGAAAGCCACGAAGAATGTCCCGCCATGGCCACGGCTGATGGAGGACAATGCGCGACAAATCATCCACCGTGACCCCTGGCAGGTTGAGACGTGGCACAATGCCAAGTGCGGCCTGATTGTGTGTAGGTTGTGTTCGGCAAGTGTCATATGTGACGGCTTTCATGGTCCTGCTCATCCTCCTCCTCGCCCTACTCTTCATACTCCTAAGTACTCCTTCTTGTTCTCCTTCACCTCCTCCTCCTCCTCCTCCTCCTCCTCCTCCTCCTCGTCCTCCTCTGCCTCCTCCTCCTCCTCCTCCTCCTCCTCCTCCCTCCTCCTCCTCCTCCTCCTCCTCCTCTCCTCCTCCTCATCATCATCATCATCATCATCTGTCTCTTCTTTCTCCTCTTCCTCCTCCATCCTCATAGGTTCCTCCTCCTCCTACCCCCTCCTTCCTCCTCCTCCTCCTCCTCCGCCTCCTCCTCCTCCCTCCTCCCCCTCCTTCTCCTCCTCCTCCCTCCTCCTCCTAGGTCCAAGGGGCCACAAGTGTCACATGCGACGCTCTTCTCGGCGGTGCTCGCCAGGCCGCCACGCAGAGCGTTGCGCTGGCACGGGGGGGGGGCGGACTTGCCGCAGGAGCTGGACACCTTCTCCGGCACGAGGGGCAGCGGTATCGTTTCAACCCAGCCGGGATCGGCCGCGCGGGCCGCATCAGAACTCGTCGCGCGGGCGGCGCTTGCGGATGTCCAGCCCCTTGGTGCGCAACGGCGGACACCCCCCCCCACACCCTGGCCGGCGGGCTTGCCTCGCACACTCAAAGCACCCACACTAAGGACGCAAGGTGAGGGCGCAGGACCGTTGGACGTCCACGTGGAGGATGCAAGAGGCACCTGGACGTTTGCGCTGATACATCTTCGGCGGCACGCGTCCAGCATAATTGAGCAGGGATGGGGTCAGAAGAGACAGAGAATGCAGGGATTGGCAGCGCCGAAGCCCATGCATCCTTACCCCGTGGGTGCTGATTTCCAAGGCCCCCGCCTTCCAGACAAAACAAAAACAAATCCTCAGGAGAGCCTGCGAGGCTTCCCCTCTCTGCCAGAGGGCCAGGGGATGTCCCCGGCCAGCCCACCTTGGTCTCCACCACGGTCTGCATCAGCGAGCCCGCGTCCTCCAGCACGGCGGCCCCGCGCGCGCCGGCGGCCTTCTGCGCCCTGGCGGCCGCCTGGCGCCCCAGCACGCGCTGCAGCATCGAGGCCTCAGGCTGACCGTGGGCGGCCAAGAGGGGGGCGTCCAAGAGGGGGGGCGCAAATCATGGCCGGCGGCACGTGCGCGGCCCCAGGGGGGGGTCTGGGGGCGCATTGAAATGAGAAGCGGCGCCATGCAATCTGGGGAGATATCACGGCCCCCGCCATGAAAGCCACCCACCCACCCCTCGTTGCCGCCCCCGAGCTGAGGTGTGGAGGGCGGGGCCGGTCAGGATGAGCGGAGCGGGCAGGAGAGGGGGAGCACCAAGACGGGAGGTGCTGGGAGCGCTGGCCGTGCTGTTTTGAGGCCTGGTCGGCGCGCCAGGGGGGCAGCTGCGTCCTGTGTTCCAGGCGCTCCGCCACCGCCCGCGCAGTGGTCGCGTTGGCTGCGCTGGCTCTCGAGGGGAAACTGTGCCTGGACACCCACCCTCCGGGAACGCCTGGATGAGACAACGAAGCAGACCCACTGGGCTGCGCAGGGGGACAGCTACGTCGTGATCCCTCAACATCTGCGCAGTGCCCGTGCCTGAGAAGTTGCGCCGACGGTCGAAGGGAACCCGTGCCTGGACACCCGGCCTCGAAGATCGCAGGGGTACAAGAAATGGCCTGAAGCCCGAAGAGGCAGCGAAGCAGACTCGCTTGGATATCCCGAAGCCAGCCCCTGTTTGGAAGAACTGTACCTGTGCGTGGGCCCCGTGAGGCCAGGGCAGATCCCGCCATCTACGACGGCTTCGGCCTCGCTGCACGACGCCTTGTCAGATCACTCGGGCCAGATGGGGGCGGGGTCAGGTGAAGCGCCATGAAGATCGACATGAAACCCCTCGACGAGCTCAAGCTGTCGGATCTCCTCCCCATGTGCCACTTATGGGGGGAACACTCCCTCTGACCGGGTTTGTTTTGTCCCTGACGTGTCCGGCGGGGCCGCGCGGATTGACCCGTCGGACCGGCGCCGTCGGCTGCTGCTCTGGCACCTTCCTCCGGATGTTCAGCTGCGAGCCCGTCGGCGCCGAATCCCGCTGGAGCACATCACCTGCCCTCGAAGCGGGCTTCAGCTGCACCCGCGCGAGCGCGCCGCATGCCTGCAGGGCCAGCACGGCAAGCAGGAGGAGGCCCCTGGGTGCCATCGTTAGGAGTATGTCTGAATGGAGCGTAACAGCGCTGAGCCGGTGGGCGTAGAACGTGAGCCTGAGCTTTCGCCTGAGCCAACAACGTAGAGGATGCAGAGGGGATCCAGCGAGGGCGGGCGCCGAAAAGAGCAAGAGCAGGCTATGTAAAGCTGCAGCGGCCCACTGGCGGTGTCGTGCTCTCTCCGCGAGCTCCGATGGCTCCCACCCTCCGACGAACCCCGCCGGCAGTGTGGCTGTGGGTGCGGCATCTTGATCATGGTGATACCGAGGTGGGCACGGCCAGAGTATCGCACCAGTGCAACGTGGAGAGGGTGGGCATCAGGAAGGTGTTTGACGCTCACGCGGGGGCCTGGAAGCTCGCCCAAGATGGACACCCCAACAGAAGTTCAAACAAATACCAAGTCTCTGGCTGGAACGCTCCTGGTATTTACCAGGGCCTCCGAGCAGCCACACCAGCTCAATACCGACTCTCAAGAGCCTCCGAAGAAGCGCCCACAAAGGCTCAGGACCCCCCGGAAGGCTCCCACAGGGCCACAAGAGACATGCTCCGAGAGAGTCTGAGAGGTCCCTTCAAACTGTCTAGCATGCTCGGCTACTCGGCTCCACATGGCGTCAACATGGCTGCAGAGAGCTCCAAGACTCGAGCCCCAAGAACAAGCACAAACTGTCCGATAGCCTGCCAAGGACCACCCACTCCTAGCATTTACAACGAGGGCCTCCGAGAAACTAAACCCGCCCAGTACCTACTCCAACATCCCCCCTCCCCCAAGAGCCTTCAAGAAACGCATGCAAAGGCTCAGGACTCCCCGGGAGGCTCCCAGAGGCCCCAAGACACATGCTCCAAGAGAGCTCTCTTCAAAATGTCCAGCATGCTCGGCTGCTCGGCTCAACATGACTCCCCCCAAGACAGCCCCAATATGCCCTCAAGACGGTTCCAAGAACGGCCCAGAACCCCGAGCCCGCCAGCAAACCCCCAAGAGCCTCCCAGAGGCCGTCTAAGAGGCCCCTGAGATACACCGATTGTGCCCCCCCAAGAAGCCCAGACAGACCCGCTCAGAGACCCCTAAAAAATCCACGAGGCCGCTGGCCAGCACCATGCACGGTGGCGGAGTGGGCCGCAGGCCGCTGGATATCAAATCTCGGTCTGGGGCGCATCTCACATTGCCACAGGAACTCAACAACCGCAGCCACGGAAAGCCACGAAGAATGTCCCGCCATGGCCACGGCTGATTGTGGGAAAATGCGCGACAAATCAGCCACCGTGACCCCTGGCAGGTTGAGACGTGGCACAATGCCAAGTGCGGCCTGATTGGGTGTGTGTAGGTGTTGTTCGGCAAGTGTCACATGTGACGGTTGTCATGGTCCTGCTCATCCTCCTCCTCGCCCTACTCTTCATACTGCTAATTACTCCTCCTTGTTCTCCTTCACCTCCTCCTCCTCCTCCTCCTCCTCCTCCCCCTCCTCCTCCTCCTCCTCCTCCTCCTCCTCCTCCTCCTCCTTCTCCTCCTCCTCCTCCTCTCCTCCTCCTCCTCCTCCTCCTCCTCCTCCTCCTCCTCCTCTGCCTCTTCCTCCTCCTCCTCCTCCTCCCTCCTCCTCCTAGGTCCTCCTCCTCCTCCTCCTCCTCCTCCGCCTCCTTCGCCACCCTCCTCCTCCTCCTCCTTCTCCTCCTCCTCCCTCCTCCTCCTAGGTCCTGGGGGCCACAAGTGTCACATGCGACGCTCTTCTCGGCGGTGCTCGCCAGGCCGCCACGCAGAGCGTTGCGCTGGCACGGGGGGGGGGGCGGACTTGCCGCAGGAGCTGGACACCTTCTCCGGCACGAGGGGCAGCGGTATCGTTTCAACCCAGCCGGGATCGGCCGCGCGGGCCGCATCAGAACTCGTCGCGCGGGCGGCGCTTGCGGATGTCCAGCCCCTTGGTGCGCAACGACGGACATCCCCCCACACCCTGGCCGGCGGGCTTGCCTCGCACACTCAAAGCACCCACACTAAGGACGCAAAGTGAGGGCGCAGGACCGTTGGACGTCCACGTGGAGGATGCAAGAGGCACCTGGACGTTTGCGCTGATACATCTTCGGCGGCATGCGTCCAGCATAATTGAGCATTGAGCATAATTGAGCGTCCGGCATGCGTCCCCTCCCTGGAGGGGGCCAGAAGAGACAGAGAATGCAGGGATTGGCAGCGCCGAAGCCCATGCATCCTTACCCCGTGGGTGCTGACTTCCAAGGCCCCCGCCTTCCAGACAAAACAAAAACAAATCCTCAGGAGAGCCTGCGAGGCTTCCCCTCTCTGCCAGAGGGCCAGGGGATGTCCCCGGCCAGCCCACCTTGGTCTCCACCACGGTCTGCATCAGCGAGCCCGCGTCCTCCAGCACGGCGGCCCCGCGCGCGCCGGCGGCCTTCTGCGCCCTGGCGGCCGCCTGGCGCCCCAGCACGCGCTGCAGCATCGAGGAGGCCTCAGGCTGACCGTGGGCGGCCAAGAGGGGGCGTCCAAGAGGGGGGGCGCAAATCATGGCCGGCGGCACGTGCGCGGCCCCAGGGGGGGGGGGTCTGGGGGCGCATTGAAATGAGAAGCGGCGCGATGCAATCTGGGGAGATATCACGGCCCCCGCCATGAAAGCCACCCACCCACCCCTCATTGCCGCCCCCGAGCTGAGGTGTGGAGGGCGGGGCCGGTCAGGATGAGCGGAGCGGGCAGGAGAGGGGGAGCACCAAGACGGGAGGTGCTGGGAGCGCTGGCCGTGCTGTTTTGAGGCCTGGTCGGCGCGCCAGGGGGGCAGCTGCGTCCTGTGTTCCAGGCGCTCCGCCACCGCCCGCGCAGTGGTCGCGTTGGCTGCGCTGGCTCTCGAGGGGAAACTGTGCCTGGACACCCACCCTCCGGGAACGCCTGGATGAGACAACGAAGCAGACCCACTGGGCTGCGCAGGGGGACAGCTACGTCGTGATCCCTCAACATCTGCGCAGTGCCCGTGCCTGAGAAGTTGCGCCGACGGTCGAAGGGAACCCGTGCCTGGACACCCGGCCTCGAAGATCGCAGGGGTACAAGAAATGGCCTGAAGCCCGAAGAGGCAGCGAAGCAGACTCGCTTGGATATCCCGAAGCCAGCCCCTGTTTGGAAGAACTGTACCTGTGCGTGGGCCCCGTGAGGCCAGGGCAGATCCCGCCATCTACGACGGCTTCGGCCTCGCTGCATGAGGCCTTGTCAGATCACTCGGGCCAGATGGGGGCGGGGTCAGGTGAAGCGCCATGAAGATCGACATGAAACCCCTCGACGAACTCAAGCTGTCGGATCTCCTCCCCATGTGCCACTTATGGGGGGAACACTCCCTCTGACCGGGTTTGTTTTGTCCCTGACGTGTCTGGCGGGGCCGCGCGGATTGACCCGTCGGACCGGCGCCGTCGGCTGCTGCTCTGGCACCTTCCTCCGGATGTTCAGCTGCGAGCCCGTCGGCGCCGAGTCCCGCTGGAGCACGTCACCTGCCCTCGAGGCGGGCTTCAGCTGCACCCGCGCGAGCGCGCCGCATGCCTGCAGGGCCAGCACGGCAAGCAGGAGGAGGCCCCTGGGTGCCATCGTTAGGAGTATGTCTGAATGGAGCGTAACAGCGCTGAGCCGGTGGGCGTAGAACGTGAGCCTGAGCTTTCGCCTGAGCCAACAACGTAGAGGATGCAGAGGGGATCCAGCGAGGGCGGGCGCCGAAAAGAGCAAGAGCAGGCTATGTAAGGCTGCAGCGGCCCACTGGCGGTGTCGTGCTCTCTCCGCGAGCTCCGATGGCTCCCACCCTCCGACGAACCCCGCCCGCCGTGTGGCTGTGGGTGCGGCATCTTGAGCATGGTGATACCGAGGTGGGCACGGCCAGAGTATCGCACCAGTGCAACGCGGAGCGGGTGGGCATCAGGAAGGCGTTTGACGCTCACGCGGGGGCCTGGAAGCTCGCCCAAGATGGACACCCCAACAGAAGTTAAAAAAATGCCCAAGTCTCTGGCTGGAACGCTCCTGGTATTTACCAGGGCCTCCGAGCAGCCACACCAGCTCAATACCGACTCTCAAGAGCCTCCGAGGAAGCGCCCACAAAGGCTCAGGACCCCCCGGAAGGCTCCCACAGGGCCACAAGAGACATGCTCCGAGAGAGTCTGAGAGGTCCCTTCAAACTGTCTAGCATGCTCGGCTACTCGGCTCCACATGGCGTCAACATGGCTGCAGAGAGCTCCAAGACTCGAGCCCCAAGAACAAGCACAAACTGTCCGATAGCCTGCCAAGGACCACCCACTCCTAGCATTTACAACGAGGGCCTCCGAGAAACTAAACCCGCCCAGTACCTACTCCAACATCCCCCCTCCCCCAAGAGCCTTCAAGAAACGCCTACGAAGGCTCAGGACCCCCCGGGAGGCTCCCAGAGGCCCCAAGACACATGCTCCAAGAGAGCTCTCTTCAAAATGTCCAGCATGCTCGGCTGCTCGGCTCAACATGACTCCCCCCAAGACAGCCCCAATATGCCCTCAAGACGGTTCCAAGAACGGCCCAGAACCCCGAGCCCGCCAGCAAGCCCCCAAGAGCCTCCCAGAGGCCGTCTAAGAGGCCCCTGAGATACACCGATTGTGCCCCCCCAAGAAGCCCAGACAGACCCGCTCAGAGACCCCTAAAAACTCCACGAGGCCGCTGGCCAGCACCATGCACGGTGGCGGAGTGGGCCGCAGGCCGCTGGATATCAAATCTCGGTCTGGGGCGCATCTCACATTGCCACAGGAACTCCACAACCGCAGCCACGGAAAGCCACGAAGAATGTCCCGCCATGGCCACGGCTGATGGAGGACAATGCGCGACAAGTCAGCCACCGTGACCCCTGGCAGGTTGAGACGTGGCACAATGCCAAGTGCGGCCTGATTGGGTGTATGTAGGTGTTGTTCGGCAAGTGTCACATGTGACGGTTGTCATGGTCCTGCTCATCCTCCTCATCGCCCTACTCTTCATACTGCTAATTACTCCTCCTTGTTCTCCTTCACCTCCTCCTCCTCCTCCTCCTCCTCCCTCCTCCTCCTCCTCCTCCTCCTCCTCCTCCTCTCCTCTCCCCTCCTCCTCCTCGTCTCCTCCTCCTCCTCCTCCTCCTCCTCCTCCTCCTCCTCCTCCTCCTCCTCCTCCTCCTCCTCCTCCTCCTCTCCTCCTCCTCCTCCTCCTCTCCTCCTCCTCCTCCTCCCTCCTCCTCCCTCCTCCTCCTCCTCCTCCTCCTCCTCCTCCTCCTCCTCCTCCTCCTACTCCTCCTCCTCCTCCTCCTCCTCCTCCTCCTCCTCCTCCTCCTCCTCCTCCTCCTCCTCCTCCTCCTCCCTCCTCCTCCTCCTCCTCCTCCTCCTCCTCCTCCTCCTCCTCTGCCTCCTCCTCCTCCTCATCCTCCTCCTCTGCCTCTCCCTCCTCCTCATCCTCCTCTGCCTCTTCTTCTCCTCCTCCTCCTCCCTCCTCCTCCTCCTCATCCTCCTCCTCCCTCCTCCTCCTAGGTCCTCCTCCTCCTCCTCCTCCTCCGCCTCCGCCTCCTTCGCCACCCTCCTCCTCCTCCTTCTCCTCCTCCTCCCTCCTCCTCCTAGGTCCTGGGGGCCACAAGTGTCACATGCGACGCTCTTCTCGGCGGTGCTCGCAAGGCCGCCACGCAGAGCGTTGCGCTGGCACGGGGGGCGGGGCGGACTTGCCGCAGGCAGCTGGACACCTTCTCTGGCACGAGATGCGGCGGTATCGTTTCAGCCCAGCCGGGATCGGCCGCGCGGGCCGCATCAGAACTCGTCGCGCGGGCGGCGCTTGCGGATGTCCAGCCCCTTGGTGCGCAACGACAGACATCCCCCCACACCCTGGCTGGCGGGCTTGCCTCGCACACTCAAAGCACCCACACTAAGGACGCAAGGTGAGGGCGCAGGACCGTTGGACGTCCACGTGGAGGATGCAAGAGGCACCTGGACGTTTGCGCTGATACATCTTCGGCGGCACGCGTCCAGCATAATTGAGCAGGGATGGGGTCAGAAGAGACAGAGAATGCAGGGATTGGCAGCGCCCAAGCCCATGCATCCTTACCCCGTGGGTGCTGACTTCCAAGGCCCCCGCCTTCCAGAACACCAAACATTCCTCTGAGGCTTCCCCTCTCTGCCAGAGGGCCGGGGGATGTCCCCGGCCAGCCCACCTTGGTCTCCACCACGGTCTGCATCAGCGAGCCCGCGTCCTCCAGCACGGCGGCCCCGCGCGCGCCGGCGGCCTTCTGCGCCCTGGCGGCCGCCTGGCGCCCCAGCACGCGCTGCAGCATCGAGGAGGCCTGCGGCGGAGGCGCAGCGGGAGGAGCAGGGCGGAGGGAGGAGGGGAACACCAAGACGGCTCGGAGGCCCGCAGGGCCTGGAGATGAGCATCGTGCATCCGATCCCTATCCCCACGGGCGTGGCCTGGGCCCCAGTGGTCGATTTGCCCCCATCGATGGGGGTAGAGGCCGTTCCCTTCGGGCTTCGAGGGGTGCATCCCCAACTGGGGGGTTATTTGATGGGGGTCTCGAAGGGGATGGGTATGAAAATAGAAGTCAATTAAACGATACTGAGGAGAGCGGGGCCAGGAGGTGCTGCGAAGTTGCTGGGATCTCTGGCTGTCCTGCAGGGGGGCAGCTACGGCTACGTCCTTTCCCACGCGCTCCGTCAACGCATGCGCGGTGCTCGTGCCTCATCAGCTGCGCTGACCCTCTAGGGGCAGCCGACATCCGCTATCCAGGATCGGCGGGTCAAAACAACAGACGAGACAGCAAAACAGACCCACTGGGATCCCGGATCCAGCCTGCATGGAACGGCTACAACTGGGCCTCGTGAGGCCAGGGCATAGCCCGTCATCTACGAAAGCTTCAGCTTCGACGAACCACGCCTTGTAATCAGAGTGAGGGGGCTGGGCGGTCTTACACCGTTCCTGGGTGCATGCCTGGAATGGGCTTTCGCTGTGAGGGTTCTTGTTGTTTGTCTGCTTGCTCGTGGATTGGTTGTCGTCGTCGTCGTCCCCGCCCGCGACCCGCCCGCGACCCGCCCGCGACCCACCCGCGGCCCACCCACGACCCGCCCGCGAATCACTCGCGACCGCCCGCGACCCGCCCGCGGCCCACCAGCGACCCGACCGCACCCATCCTGCTTTGACGGAAATTCTGTGCCTGCGGGAGGCTCGCTGCAGGCTCACCCTCCACTGGATCGAACACTTGAAATCGGATCGGCAACAGACCGGATTGGGAGCAACAAGAAAACTGCTCATCGAATCGTAACGGAATCGGAAACTCAGCAGCCCTTCGGAATTGGAATCGGAATCGAATCTGCCGCGCGAGAATCGAATTCGGAATCGAAACTAGCCATCCGAACCAACAGGAGCCATCTCGTACGACGGCCTGCGACGGCGTGCGACGCTGGCGCGAAGACGACAACCGACGACGACGACTACGACGACGACTGGCGACCCCTTCCTCGTCATCGTCGTCGTGCGCAGCGGCTTTGCACTGTGTAAGCAATCGGCGCCTACGGCGCCTTTCCTCAAAGCCTCGAAGACTGCCGACGACCCCTCGCCACATCACTTCGGAGCAGCACGAATTGAGACAACGGCAACTCAAAATCGGTCCCCTGACCCCTCCTGGGTTCCAAAGGCACCAGCGTCCCGAGCTGCGACCAGCCATAGCGACGAGGGGGCCTACTCGAAGGCCAACAACCGTTGTGTCAACTCGCCCTCCTCTGATCACTCTTATCCACAGCTGCGAGGGCTATGGTATCACTGCCAGATGAAGCGCGCGCAAAGCGAGACAACAAACAATTCTCGGCGAGATCAAGCTGTCGAATCTCCTCCCCGCCTCCGACCATTGACGAGAATTCGCCTCTTGTGTGTGGAGGGCGGGGGGGGCGCCCGCTTTGAATGGGTGTGCGCTGCTCTGGACGGCTCAAGCGGGGCCGCGCTTACTGCCGCGTCGGACCGGCGCCGTCGGCTGCGGCTGCTGCTCCGGCACCTTCCGCCGGATGTTCAGCTGCGAGCCCGCCGGCACCGAGTCGCGTTGGAGCACATCGCCTGCCCTCGAGGCGGGCTTCAGCTGCACCCGCGCGAGCGCGCCGCATGCCTGCAGGGACAGCACTGCAAGCAAGAGGATGCCCCTGGGCGCCATCGTAAGAAGTATGAGTGTTGGTGGAGCGTAACAGCTGAGCAGGGTAGAACGTGGGCCTGAGCTGGTCGCCTGAGCCGGAGCAAGGCGGCGGAGTGAGCACGTGTGCAAAGAGGAGGGGGAGGGAGGGACCCAGCGTCGCCCAGGCGGTGCCAGGCTCTCCTCGTGAACTTCGAGGTTTCCATCACCTGTCATACCGATCCACCCTATGGCTTGGAGGAATACCGTGGAGAGGGGTGCTACGAAATGAAGGGACGGTTTTCTGCGTTGGAAGGGACGGAATACGGTTTTCTACGTTGGAAGGGACGGAATACCGTGGAGAGGGGTGCTACGGTTTTCCACGTTGGAAGGGACGGAATACCTGGAGAGGGGTGCTACGAATGATGCCAGCTGCTGCACATGCGTGGTGCAATCGCAAGCTGAACAGTCGAATCGGCAATACAATGATCAGACATTGTGTGTACACTTGTACAACACACATGAACAAGTAAGCCGTCAGAAGTCCCACCAGCCCTCTGGGCGTAGGTGCTTTTACGAACTGTGTCTTCTCTCTGCCAGAGCTCCCTCCTTCTCCTGCTCGGGGGAGGGGTTTACCCCTCCCCCTGCCCTCTCCCCTGGGCCTGGGAGGGGGGTGCCGCGGGTGGCTAGGGCGCCTCAGATGGCACAAGATGGCTCCAAGAGGACCTCAGAGAGCCCAAGATGGTCTCCGAGATGGCTCAGGATACCTCAAGATGGATCTAGATGGCCTCCGACACACGTCCAAGAAGCCTCAAGACGGCACCAAGACGGTGTCAAGTGCCCTGCGAGCCCTCCAAGGACCCCACCACGAGGCCAAACTCCTCATGGATCATCAATGTGTTGTGACTTCTCGCCTTGTCGCTTCCAATGGGTTCTTGAGGCCTCAAGATGGCCCCAAGACGACCCCAAGAGCGCCCAAGAGCGCCCCAAGAGCGCCCCAAGAAGGCCTCAAGACATCATGTGTGAGCCTCCGAGGGGGGAGGGGGGGCATGAATTCATTACCCCCCTCTTTTTAAGCCATGGGGCCCAAGACGGCCTCAAGAGGCCTCCCAGAACCCCCCAAAGAGCCCCAAGAGGGTCCTAAGAAAGCCCCTAAGAGAGTTGCAAAGGGCTTTAAGAGTGCCCCAAGAGGCTCCGCGAGGAACCTCAAGAACCCCAAGATGGCTCCAAGAGACCTTCGAGAAAACGCTTCCAAAGCAGTTGCCACACTTCATGCTCCTACACCGTACTGATCACGGCAATTCGCCTGGCGATCTGTTTCTGAATGGGCTGGTGGGGATATGCGAAGGGTCAAGAATTGTCGGCCACTTCGTGTGTAGCTCTGCTAGGGCTAGCGCATGACATTAGCTAAATGCTTATACTCCACCTCGCGCATGCCAACCATACTTCAATTACTCGTGTCCTTCATGGTCCTAGGTCTTTGGCGGCAACACTTGGGTGGACAGGACTGGGAAGCACCACTACGTGTAGCATGCGCGCAAGTGCTCGTGCACTTGGGCACCACACGACATGTGGGCATCTGCGATGCTCTCTCTCTCTCTCTCTCCCTCCCCCTCTCACTTTTGGGACATTATACAAAAATGGAAGAGGGAGGCGGAGGAGGAAAGAAGGAAACGAACACGCACGATCCGGACAGAGAGAAAGAGGGAAGAAAAAAGATAAGAGAGAGGGAGAGGGATACACAGGCATATGGAGAGAGAGAGAGAGTGAGTGAGAGAGAGGGATGGGCACACGCACGCATGATGTGTATGTCTAGCTGTATAACGACATGTCTGAACAGAACAAGTCTAGAATTGAGAATATGGAAGGGAGGAGACCGAGTGGGAGTAGGCCTACGAGGGTGAGATGGAGGAGGAGGAGGAGGAGGAGGAGGAGGAGGAGGAGGAGGACACGGACGAGGATCACGAGGACGAGGATGAGTATGGCGGGGTCCAGGAGGACGAGGAGGAATGAGTCAAGGGACGACCATGAGACGTAGTAGAACAGCGAGGAGAAGAGGCGGACGACGAAGAAAACCCGGACGCGACCCGAACCCCCTCTTTAGAAGATGGAGTGTTAGACAATGGAACGTTGGAACATTCATTCTCTCTGCGGACCCCAACAATTCTGGGGGCTTCAGGGGGCTTCCGGAATTCGTAGCGTCACCGTTTCAACGTCATCCTTCGATCTGCTTGCTCAGATGGCTCTCAAATCCGAGCCTTCAGCCCGCTGGGACCATCTTGGGACTTATTGGGAGGCTTCGGGGTCGTCCTGGGGATCGCTGCGCACAGGCTGGGCTTGCGTCCGAGCAGCCGGTCTGGGGGGGCGCACCTCAGAGCTCGGGCGGAACTCGGAGAGATTGGGGGAGAACCATCACCTTCAAAAGGGAGGTCCTCTTTCTGCTCCTTTCCTCCTCCTCCTCCCCCTCCTCCTCCTGCTCCTCCTCCTCCTCGCCCTCTTCCTCCTCCTCCTCCTCCTCCTCCTCCTCCTCCTCCTCCTCCGCATCCTGCTCGTTCCTGGCTCCCGGGGGGCATCAGCAAGACCAGCCCCACAGCCCGAGCCGGGCCCGCGGTCCCCAGAGGGCCTGGCAAAAAAGCCCCCAGCCCTGCCCCGACCGAGGCATGCTCGCGCCGTGGAACACACTCACGACGTGAGGTTTTTCTGGCCGTGCTTGGCCTCATCGCGATGAAGAGCCAGCCCTCCTCCTTCTCCTCCTCCTCCTCCTCCTGCTCCTCCTCCT